GAGCCCAGCAGGTCGAGGCTGCGGTGGCCGGGAGCGGCCACTGCACTCCAGTCTGGGCGACAGAGTGAGACTCCGACTCAAAAAAAAAAGGAATATCTCAGATGCCTCTGAGGTATGAAATGAAGCCCCATCAAACTCCCACCCAGCTGTACACACTGAAGCCCAGGCTTCCCATCACAGTTCTAAATGGAGGCCCTGGATTTATAAACTTGCGTGATGCTTTGAATGCCTGGCAGCTGGTGAAGGAACTCAAAGAGGCACTAGGCATCCCAGCCTCTGCCTCTTTCAAACATGTTAGCCCAGCAGGTGCTGCTATTGGAATTCCACTCTGTGAAGATGAGGCCAAAGTCTGCATAGTCTACGATCTCTATAAAACCCTTATACCCAAACCAACTGCAAGAGCAGGAGGGGCTGATAGGAAGTCTTCATTTGATAATTTTATTGCATTATCTAATGTTTGTGAAGTACCAACTGTGAAAATTATCTCCAGAGAAGTATCTGATGGTATTATCATCCCAGGATATGAAGACGAAGCCTTGAAAATACTTTCCAAAAAGAAAAATGGGAACAACTGTGTTCTTCAGCTAGATTGGTCTTACAAACCAGATGAAAATGAAATTTAAACTCTCTTTGGTCTTCGTTTAAGCCAGAAGAGAAATAATGGTGTCACTGATAGGTCATTATTTAGCAATGTTGTTACCAAGAATAAAGATTTGTCGGAGTCTGCCCTCCGAGACCTCACTGTAGACCTCATTGCTGTCAAGTATACGCAATCTAACTCCATGTGTTATGCCAAGAACGGGCAGGTTATTGGCATTGGAGCAGATACACTGCACATGCCTTGCAGGGGATAAGACAAATTTGGGTGGCTTAGTCACCTTCCATGAATGCGTTCAATGAAGTTTAAAGGAGGCATGAAGAGAGCAGAAATCTCCAATGCCATCCATCAGTATGTGACTGGAACCATCAATGAGGATGAAGATTTAATAAAGTGGAAGGCGCTGTTTGAGGAAGTCCCTGAATTATTAACAGAGACAGAGAAGCAAACGAAGTGAAGTTTCTGTCAGCTCTGATGCCTCCTTTCCTTTTAGGGATAATGTAGACAGATAATGTAAGAGGAGTGGCATGGCACACACTGCAGCTACTTCCAGGTCTGCTGCTAACAAAGTTGTGATTGAGGCCTGCAATGAACTGGGAATCATCCTCACTCATACAAATCTCCAGCTCTTTCACCACTGATTTTGTCATACTTACCCTGCATATGTGGAGGTGAATAGTCATGTGGAATTTTAGAAATAACTTCTTAAAAAATAAAACATTTTGTCTTAACAACTGGAAAAATTTTTTTGCCATACTTTGAAGGACATCCTGGTAAAATTTCAGAGCACTGGAAACTAAAAGAAGATCCTAAAATATTTTAGAAATGGGAAAAACAGGATACATGCTTATTAAAACAGATTAGGAATCAGCTTAGTATTGTAGGAGAATGATGTAATGCATTAAGATTTTGGGGGGAAAATATTTCCAACACAGAATTATCTATCCAGCAAAACTGTAAAATAAACATGAAGGTAAAGACATTCAGGGTGTCAACATTTTTGTTTTCTTCACCTGTCTCAGGAAGTTTCTAGATCAAGGAAAAGAAAGACAATAGACCTATTAAAATGAGGATCTAACTCAAGAGACTCCCCAGTATGTTGAAGAAAAAAAACTTCCAGGATGACTCCCTTGCTCCAGCCTAGAATGGAGCAGGCTCTCATAGTGCTTTCTGCTAGGAGAAGAAATGGACAGAACTCCTGCTGTGTTTGAGGAAGATTTAGACAACTGGGGAAGGGGTTGGAGGAGGAATTTGTGATAAGTGCATTGAACACTAAGCAAACTAAAGCATAAGGCAATTATAAACTCCAGAAATACAACCCATTATGCAAGAAGAGACAACATCCCAGGGTACTACATGGCTCATGTTTGATTAGCATTCACATAGGCAGAATAATGTAAATGATGGATACAAACCTAATCAAAAGTATGCTTTAACTATACAGTACTAGGAGAATACAGGTTGATGGGTAGGGAGCACTATTTGAATGAAGAGTGGGGGTGGACAGTGAAAGAAATATAAACCTTTGACTTGCCTGGTAAGAATTCATTAACTAATACCTAAAACGAAAAATTAAGAAGTACATAAAAACAAGAGAGGAGAAGTCAAACGAGTTGGAAGTGTTTAATGCCAGGGAATGGTAAATGGAGATAGAGTGGCCAAGGCATCAGGGTTTTTTTATTTTTTTATTTTTATTTTTTTTGAGTTGGAATCTCACTCGGTCACCCAAACTGGAGTGCAGTGGCCGCTCCCGGCCACCACAGCCTCGCCTGCTGGGCTCCGGCGATCCTTCCATCTCAGCCTTCCGAGTAGCCAGAATTACAGGCGTGCGCTACCACGCCCGGCTGATTTTTTGATTTATTGTAGAGATGAGGTCTCGCTGCCCAGGCGGGTCTCGAACCCGCGGGCTCAGGCAATCCACTCACCTCAGCCTCCCAAAGGCGCGGGATTACAGGCTGAGCCACCAAGCCCGGCTGGCATCAGGGTTTTTATAAGCTTTACAGAACCATTTGACTTTGAAAATACGTGCACATACATCTTTGTTTACAAATTTGTTTTAATTTAAAGATACATTGTCTTCTAGAGAAATTTCCACTTTTCGTGGCTAGAACCATTGCTATGGTTTGAGAAAATCTATATAAAGTAGCAGTTAAAGCATGAGCTTTGAGTCAGTCATATCCAGGCTCAAATCCTGGAGTTGCCATCTATAACTGTGACCTTAGGAGAGTTACTTAATATTTCTAAGCCACAATTTCCTCATCTGTAAAACAAGGATTATAGTATTGATAGTACATATCTGGTATTGTAACAATTAAATAACAGTATATGAAAAGCACATAAAAAGAATTCAATTAATGTTAGATATTTTTATTATTATTGATAGTGGAGTGGGTAAATGAATAGAGGAGATCAGGTTTATGGAAACAGATACAGCCCCAGATGTGAATGTGTCTGCCTGATACCCTTTATAATTCAGTATCTCATATATTGCTTGGCACATAGAAAGAGCTCTATGAATATTTGTAGAATGAATGAACGCATGCATGCATTCATGCATACACATATAACACGTAGCCTCAAATGTCTCTGGATATTCTAGAATCAGTCAAACCACAGGGAGAGGAAGAACAATAAACCCTGAAGTCCAGGATTTAGTAACTGAGGTAGAGGCTGTTAGTTGCCAACAAATAGCATGTCTTCTAATTCTTAATATTTGAATTCCAAGTTGTAGCTGAGCATGTGTCTGCCTGGGTAAAGACTACTTTTCCCTCCTGCAAGCACTTTTTAAAAAATATTCTGCTATTAGAACTTCCTCTGATACTGCTTCTTCCCTACCCATTTGGTCTGCTTTACCTGACCCTGCAAAGGTAAATTCATCACACTGTTGAGCAAGCTGTGTTTTAACATACCACCTCTAGCTGTCAGAGGTCAATGTATTGGGAAGATGAACAATTTCAGAAAAAGTGAACATCTGATAAATGCCATTGGAGACTTTTAGACTGAGCCAAGAGTGAATGCCTACCACAACAGATGTTAGATAAATGTCCTTTGGATGTTTTTTGGCTAAATCAAATAATCCAGGTGACTTTTACCCAAAGTATAACTAAATGATAAGAATGACAAAATGGATAGTGTCCTCAACAAAAAGTGAAAAATAATCATTTTAGATGGGAAAATCTTTTTGGATCAAAGTTTTCCACAACCAACCAAAAGGTAGAAGCCATAAAAAGCTGCTAGATTCTTCTGTGTCATTAACTAGATACCCCTTTCAAATAATTTATTCTACTTAAAACAAAAAATTTGGCCAGGCTCAGTGGCTCAGTTTGTAATCCCAGTACTTTGGGAGGCCAAGGCGAGAGGATTGCCTGAGCCTGCTGGTTCGAGACCCGCCAGGGCAACTTGGCTAGCCTCGTCTCTACAATAAATCAAAAATTAGTTGGGCGTGGTAGCGTGCGCCTGTAGTTCTGGCTACTTGGAAGGCTGAGGCAGAAGGATCGCCAGAGCCCAGCACGTCGAGGCTGCGGTGATGGGTAATATGCCACTGCATTCCAGTCTGGACGACAGAGTGAGACTCCAACTCAAAAAAAAAAAAAAACCTTTCTTCCTCACTATATTAGTTTGATGGACCTGCCATAACAAAGTACCACAGACTGGGTGGCTTAAACAACAGAAATTTATTTTTTCATGATTCTAAAGTCTGAAAGTGCAAAACTAAGGTGTCAGCAGGGTGGGTTCTTCTGAGGCCTCTCTCCATGGCTTGCGGACAGCCGCCTTCTCACTATGTCATCACACAATCTTTCCTCTGTGTGCCCAAATTTCCTCCTCTTATAAGGACACCAGATGGTATTAAAACCTACCCTAATGGCTTCATTTAACCTTAATTACCTCTTTAAAGGCTCACTCTCAAATACAGTCATATTCTGGCATACTGGCAGTTAGGGCTTCAACATATGATGAAATGCCCCACACTTTGAATACTTTGGGGCAGGGGTCACAATTCAGTCCATAATACCCACTTTTCCCCATTAAGTAGATAACTGAGACAAGCAACACAAGGAGAAGGAAGAAAGTTACTTCACTCACAGGTAGCAGGGAGAAAACTTTGAGCCTTGTTGTGTGAAAGTGTGGCATCTATGTGAAAAATGGCATGCCCAGAACCTCAGATGCCTGAAGAGGGGGAAAGCACACGAGAAAGGGGTGGTTTATAACCAGATCCTGGAGAATGAGGAATTGGAATATGAACGTTTAGACCAGAAGTGGCAAACTCATATGCTAATATGGTGCATGAAGGTAATACAAATGGATCAAGCCGGAAGGGTGCACTGTATACATTTAGAATACAGTGGGGACAGTGGCAGGATGCTCATCAAATGGAAAGATGGTGCCTTGTCAAAAGGGTTTTGAAAAGCGCCACTTGGCTCCAAGCAGGCTGAATGCTGCCCATTATTACCAAATCTTGATATTCTGCCAATCTGGACTTTTATGTAGCTCTTCAGATGTCTAAATGATAGTTTTTTTAAATTTTACACTTGATCTTAGCCAAAAGGCTGAAAAGCAGTCGATTTTTTTTTAATTTTAAGTACTATTTAAGTCCATCAAGACTCATTAACTGGCCAAATTTTGAACCACAAATCATGTATTTTAATCTTGTCCCAGATCTTTCCAAGCTAGAAAGTCACACGGGGGAAAGAAACAAATATTTGTATCGATTATATATATCTAGCCCTGTTCTAGGAATTGAACATAACTTATTTTAATTAAGCCTCACAATCCTAAGAGGCAGGCAGCACTACCTTCTATTCTCATGGATGAGAAAATTTGAGGAACACAGGAGCACACCCAAGCTTACTTGGCCAGTCAGTGTCAGAGCCAGATTCGGACCAGTGTGAATCTGCTATAAGCGCATTTGCTACAATGCCCCCTTGACCTTCTATATCAGCTGTTCTCAACCCTGACTGACACAGGGAAATCACCTGGTGAGCTTTGAAAACTTGCATGCCCAGGTGACATACAGACAAGTTAAAAATCAGAACCTTTGGGAATGAGACCCAGTCATCAGTATTTTTTAAACCTCCCAAGGTGGTTCAGGGAGAATCAAAAACCATGATCCAAGAGGCACTAGCATCATCTGGGAGCTTGTTAGAAATGCAGACTCTAGGCCCCACCCCGACCTGCATTTAACAAGACCCGCATTTAACGATGAATCTGCATTTTAAAAGATCTCTGTGAGATTTGAATGTGCAGCAAATTTGAAAAGAATTAGCCTAGGAGAGAAGTAATGAAGGCCTAAACTAGACTTCACAAGACTGGCTTCGTTCCCAACATTTTGCATTTATTAATTATCAAAACACACACACACACACACACACAACGGGGGAGGGAAAGAGAGAAAAAAACTTATAGTACCTGGATGATTAAAATGCACCCTTGGATCTGAATGCTATGCTTTCACTTTCAGAGATTTCTTGGGTGTCTCATTTCAGTTTGTTTGCTTTTGCTTTTTCTGCAAATTATTCAGAGATCACTGGTGCTCTTTTCCCAGCTTCAGGTTCTGACTCAAGAGTAAGAAAGCCAAGAAATGACCATCAACCAAGACTCAACTAAGTATGGATGCAACTTCAGGCAGTTGACATTCCACAAG